ATGGGCCACCCCACATGTGTGGCTGTATGTCATAAGGCATTACATCACAGCAGTAAAGGGAATTGTGGATGAAAATGTGAGTCTAACAAAGTTCTAATATGATGTTCTTCTTTTTTCTGTTCTTGCGTCTCCAACTCTACTTCCTTCACATACAATTTTTAACTGGAAGTTAATATGGAATTTGAATGTAATGTGAAACATTCCTTTTACAAGTTCTCAAAAGTTTGATACACATATTAAGTGAATTTTTAGATGATAAAGAAACATGTCACACTGAACCACAAAGTACTTTCTTTTCACATGAAGCTTCGAAAGGGAAGCACCCAGAGACTTGAGTGACAGAGGATGGCCCTGTATCCCTTATGTATTGGATGTTAAACAAAAGTCACTTTATTTATTATGTAATAGTGTTTATCCATTGTCTCTTTGTGAAATTTTGATCTTGGTTTCCTTTCAGATCAGTGAGGCAGTCATAGTCTCTGTGTTTGCACATGTTTGTCATGTGATGACCTTTATACCTGCTGACTGCATGGATCAACTATTTGTCCTGACTCTGGACTTGGTGACCAGGCCAACAGTGTCAAACAGTAATATCAGAGAGCAGCTGAAGAGTTCAGTCAACATTTTATCATCTGAAGTACACAGGGCAGCATTGACTCAAAAACTAAATCAAAATTTGCAGACTATTGCTGGCATAGTATAAAATGTAGGCATTGAAATGGAATCAAAAATGACAACTGTGGACACCCAGTGACACTCTTTTCTCACTTTGTTTTATTTTCTTAGTCACTGATATGGAACTGAGTGAGCCAAGAAATGCCATTAAAATCGCATAATGCTCTTTAACTTGCAAACTGCTTTTCTTTGGTCGAAATACTATGAATCAACTTGAAGCACCAGCCAGATGTTAAAGTTAAATAATCAAAGCCCAGAATGCCACCACAGCATAGATAGAATAAAAATATAAATGATAACAATGTATAAACAGCAGTTTACAGATTTCTGAGTAAATAATTGTTTATAAGTGCATATTATAAATAAAGTTATTACAAACAAAGGGAGACAGGTAATAAGAAATGATACTGAGAACAAGACACTGATTCCATTTAAATATGACTTCATGTTAAACAAGAATTATTTAATGTACAATAACTTTAAAAAACCTGTATTTGTGATGTACTTGGAATCCGGCCATAGTCATGACAAGTAACACACCACGTTGGTGATGGATTCTTGTGTAAAGATGTGGTCAGTGCTCTTGTTGAAGTTAATTCCGTGGTAGAAGTACCTGGTATTGGAGACTTCTACAGTGAAAAGGAAATCAGTGCCTTGTCGAGGCCTATGCTAGGAAGGTAAGTTACTGAACATGTTTAGTTAAATTTAAGTGCATTTTATATAAAGGAGCCACATCACAGATGACGAATCTTGAAAACAAACTTGCACATAAAAAAGTGTACATACGGTTAATCCTCTCCTTACAGAAACCTCGGGAAAAGCTGCACATAATGAGTGTTACTTACCTGAAGTTCAACTGGTAAGAGTTATTTAATTTTCTGGCATAAGAAGAAATCCTGTTGTTGTAGCTGTCAAACATGGTGCAAACTATTATCAAGTGTATGTTGCTGTATCCTGTTACAACTACAAACTTAAGTAGATTTCTTTGTTTTTAGGTTATGTCTTCAAATTGATCCAAAGCCCAGCAGTTCTAACCTCAATAGTACAGCTACCTCCAGGTCAAGAGGGTCCATAAGTCACTCACTCACTCGTGCCATTGCCCATTACACCTTGGTGGCAGGTAGGGCAGCAACATAATCCTTCCACATCTGCTGGTCCTTTGCCATGACTTGAACGCCCCGTCAGGTCTTTCCCCTCTGCTTCATTTCCTTTTGCCTTGCTGTCCCTCTGGCATCCAGTGTAGGGTGGTCTTGATGATGGACACTTCTTGGTGGGTGACATGGCCAATCCATCTCCAACACGTTCTCATCAGAATGGTAGCCATGGATTTAAGAGCATAAGTGGTGGGTCTTTAAATCTTATATACATGTGACATTTGACTTGCATATTGATCAGTAAAACCTGGTTAAGAATTGCAACACAAAAATGAAGGACAAGGTAGACATTTTATTGCTGTTTTCGTAGATTTGTGCCTTGTTTCCGTGCACATTTCTTCATAATTTTGTAACAGATGTTCTGTGATAGTGATGTAAAGGCCTGGGCCGATAAAGGAATTAACCTAACCGCATGGTAAACTGCAGGCAACAGTGGGTTACACTGCAGTTCAAATCCCAGCCCTGGATAGTCTGTAAGGATGAATACTGACTAGAAATCTCTTTCCCGTTCAAGACTGAATGCATGGCCATGCCAATGCCTTGAATAGTTAAAATCTACATTGTAAGAAGTTCGAGGCAGAGTTGACAGTACCCCACATGCTCCTCCCTTCAACCCCCCAATTTCTAGAAATATTTACACACAGCGTTTCATTGTTCTCATGATACGGTATATATTTCTGTTACAAACATCTATTTTTGCTTTCTTTTTAGATTTACAAAGGAATTCATCTACATAGCTAATTTGTTCCAGGACACAGAAAGACTGTCAGTTTAGAGGCTAAGTAAGTTGTGCACGATGTAAAACTTTTATTTAATGTAACTTTGGGGAAACATCCCGGAACTGGCCATCTCATTAGTAAAGACAACGCGTTATCAAAGAGTGCATCGGATATATGTTCATTAAATAGAACGTTCTAGGAATTGTGTGCAGTTAGAGTCTAACACTAGTCTAGGGGACTTACTGGAGTAGGGTGAGGGGGACAATGTCATGGATGTCATGCTCTGAGAAACTGGTTTGTGAAGTCAATAGTGGTGGGAGGCGCAGTGGCCTCATGGTTAGTGCGCTCATCTCCAGATCGAGGGGTCCGGGCTCGAGTCCTGGCTGGGGACTTTGTGTTGTGTTCTTGGGCAAGACACTTTAC